TAATAAAAAAGTAAACGTTTCAAACTTTTCTAATGGTCTGTGAAGTACTGAAATGCGGAAAGTTCAGTTACGGCAACCCATCGACCAAAGTATTAACGTAAAATACTCCTAATTGTTGATAGATCATGGTTTAGATACCCCTTGCCATCGGACTAACCATGAGAGGTTTTCTTGGTTTTCCTCTCCATGTTATGCAAACACTCTTTAGTTTCCTCGATAAGTTTTCCACGAAGACTAATTTGTAAAGTAGCGTTATCCGGGTGTTCCTTTGTCTTTTCTGGGTCAGGCTCAAAATTACAAGGCTAAGGAATTGGACATTGGTAGTCGTAAATGCAGAATTAGGTCGGCTATTGGTCGACCTGTTATAAAACAAAATTATGGTACATGTTATGTTCAACTATGGCTCTCATGCAATGCACAACATACAGATTACGGCTCATATCGAGTTATTGGTGCAAACTAATACAATTATATCGCACAGTAATTGATTAAAAACTTCCTGCTGAAATAAGGACGAAGGAAATTTGAGAAATAACAAAGACAAACAAAGTATACTTGTCACCAAGCAGTTAAAATAAATATCTAACATAAACGACTATTAAATTTTATTTTTCCTATTTTTTTTAACAAATTACTGATTTATATTTAATAGAGTATTTATGAGTCCCGACCTTTTTTCACATTTTTTTTAACTATTATTTTTCTTTACCTATTTCAGGTTATATAACAATTCTAAGACCTTTTTTCGCAAAAAGTTGCGATTGAATCGCCATCTGTTGCATTTTGGGGATTACTAAGTTCTAATAAATCAACAATCCAAAAAAGGCCGACCGGCCGGTGTAGGGGGCAGGGAACTGTCCTTGCATCAGAAAGGGTCTGGATTCGAATCCTGGGCAAGGCGTAGATGTTCTTTCCTTCTCTGTACTATCTGTCCTCACTGTGGGAGTGACGTTGGCCAACCTAATATGGTGCCCCTGGAAGAGAGGCCAACAAAATCCCCCTGTAAATGCCTGAATTCACGGATGTTAACACAGGTGGGCATTAGGAAGAAAAAAAAAATTGTGCAAAATCGGTTCTAAGCGAGAGTTATTACACAGTGAAGATTGACCGTATTGTAAAAAAACCCATCCTTTCTGCACGAAAAATAGTTTTTTTTCTCTTTTTTTTTTTATCCTGATCAGCTTTTATCGGCATAAAACATTCTATATCCGTTGTCTTCATTTATCTCGATCCCATTAAGGATATTTTTCTAATTTTTTTCACAAGCTATTGATTTATTTAAAAATTGACATTTACAAACGTCATATTTCATTTTCTTTAATCTAACTATTATTCATTACCTCATTAAAAATTTATTTTAATCGTATTAAAGATCACTGTACGTGGTTCAGTACGAGTAACAGATATATTCTGTAAAGAGAAAAGAAAAAAACATTATTTTGCAATTCGTTGAAAATCAGTTCTATTATGACTCAAATTTCATTTGTAACTTATGGGTCACTGTTCTGTAAGACCATTAGACTCATTATGGCGTATATCGATTAATAATGGTCTAAGAACCGTTACTGTACCTTTTAGCATTTGCGGTCTTTTAGACCAATCAATCTTTATTTTTAATTCAATGAGTGTAATTCATGGTCACGTAATTCCAATCTTTGAGCCAAATCACGCGAATCCATGTTGGCGAAAACTTCGAGGAATATTTTTTAACATTGGAGATTACTTTTCACCTATGTTCGCGTTCTTGGAGAATTGTGCAGCTACATTTCACTGCTGCGTGATTTGAATTGTAATTCATTGGCAGTTTTTGGCTGAGAAAATCATTGTTTCAATCAGATTTAAGACAAACGGTGAATGCTTAAGCATTCTGCGGAAATGATACATTTACAGTTAAATTCTAAGGTCATTATAATGTTTGTTGGAATGAGTTATAGGATTTCTATGATAATATTTTGAAAGTGTGTTTAGGGTATAAATAAAATATGAATGGGCATGAAATATGCAACAACAAATATTCATATGCGCAATAATATTTCGTCTTACTCTTTCAGGTAATTCTTTAGAAGAACAGATGTTAGTAAACGAAACTTTTAATAAATCCTTTTTGGAAATATTTTGCGTAATTAGATTCTGGTTGAAAAAGTAAAGGGATATAAAATATGCAGAAACAAATATTCAAATATATCAATATTGACCAGATTTCTTATAAGAATATGAAGGAAATTATTTTTACGCATTCGTGTTTGGTATTAAGGTATTCAGGCACAGACAAAATATTAAAAAAAATTTTTTTCTTAATTTATTGACAAATATTTTAATTTCTTCACAAGATTGATTGTATGACTTTGAAAATGCCCTTAGAAAAAATTAAGATGGTCACACTATAAAAAATATTCAGTAAAATTTACGGTTTTAAACAGGCAGCTGCGTTGGTTGTGGAAAATCTTAAAATTCACGAAGTAAATCCGTAACTTCAATGGCTTTTTACCATAAGCGTAGAAGTTTGATTAATTTTTTAGGTTTATTTGAGGTTATATTGAGGTGTTAAGGGTGATTTAAAGTTTATTTGAAGTTCACTTCTAGAAGGACCTTAAAGAATTGACCACTCAAGTTTTAATATTAAGGTGCATGAAGTTAGTTAATTAATACTTGTGGTCCCCTTGAAGTTGAGTAAAGTAATCTACCGTAGTAAAGTAATCTACCGTTTTGAAGTAATCTACGGTAGAATAACCTTAGAAATGTTGTTTTTGAGGTGTACAGTGCGCGAAACAAAAAACGATCTTGAATAACTTTTGATCTAATGTTCTTGACATTCTAGGACTCAACCTTAATGGCTCGAAGGAGTGACTTCAATATGCTAATTAATAAGTGCAGACGATATTTTAAGCTACGAAATCAGACACAAAAGCATACCTTCTCTGAATAATCATACTTTTTTGTCGAAGGATTCGAATTTTTGACCTCGAAATTATGGCGGTTAGCCGCAATCTGAGAAATATGGTCACAATATTTAGGTCGGGAGGGTATTTCAAAGTTTTAACTCTTTAATGTTAATTTTTCTTTCTGCGTATTTCACTAAATTTCGAGAATTTTTTATTTGAATTGGAAATTTTTGCACACGTGTATGAAATTCGTTTATCCTAAGATGATATAATGCAAAAAATAACTTTTAGTAAATATTTATTATTTTTTATTATTTCTTTTAATAATGGTCGAGAAAATTTTGAATTGTAAGGTATAAAATTTTTTGCATTGCATGAGAAATTGAATTTTAAATATCTGATTTTTTTTGAAACTCAATTTCTCAGGAACGTTTCACCCGATTTTGCTAAAATTTTGCATATTTGCCATGTAAAATTATATTATTTAAAAGCATTCAAAAAAATTTACGCCTTACTATTCAATCATTTTTCGACCATTATTAAATAAAATAATGAAAAATAATAAATATTTACTAAAAGTTATTTTTTGCTTGGAATTGTCTTTGGATAAACGAATTTTATAATTGTGTGCAAACATTTGTCAATTCACTTAAAAAGTTCTCGAAATATAGCTTAATAGTAATATTATGTAAATAGTAATATTAACATTAAGGGTCCAAATTTTTGACCACTTTTCTGACTAAACTATAGGAACCATATTTCTCAAATTGGGGCTACCCAATATATTTTGGGGGTGAGAAATCTGAATCCGTCGAAAAAAAGGTGTGTTTATTCCGAAAAAGTAAATTTTTGTGTCAGGTAAGTTTCGAGACTTAAAATATCGTCTGTCACCCCCTCGAGCCACTAGGAGCCATTAAATATGTCACCCTCTCGAGTTATTAAGATTGAGTCCTAGAACGTGAAGATCCCATCATTAGATCAAAACTTATTCAGGGTGGTCTGTTTTTTTCTTCTTTTTTTTGGTGCACTGTATATGTTATTCTGTCAACACTTCAAGCGAATAAGTATATTTGAGGGATAAATAATTTAAACTGAAAGTACTGCAAAGCTAAAAATGAGGTTGAAATTGATTTTAATTGATGAGGTTATTTTTGGGTCGAAACATAACCTCATTTTTTACCTCAGGTGTAATGTTTTACACTTGTCAATCTCAAAACAACATAAAAAATAAATTTTTTTGTGCACGCATATTTTGCATATTTCAAGAGTGCATATTTCATTTTATTTTTTTGCCGGTGTAGAATAGCCGACCTAATTCTGAGTTTACGAATTACAAAGCTCAACACCGTAGCCTCGCAGTTTTGGACCCAATCCAAAACACAAGGGAACTGCCGGATTAAGTACTGGGAGAAATTTGCTTTCATGAGACTCATTTTTGATAGAACTAACTTGCATTTCCGTTACATGGAGAAGAAGACCATGGAGACTCAAATGGTTAGCCTGACAGCAAGGGGACTCTAACCCATGATTCGTCTACCACTGAAGATATTTAACATCAGCACTGCGGTTGGTGCAAGCCGGGTGTGGAATGCGTATCAACCACTCATCACTGGGATTCGAACCTGGGTCAACTCATTGGAAGGCGAGCTTTATCCCTAAGCCACCATAGCTCGACGATGCATACTTTGTTTTATTTTATTACCGTCGTTGAACAGCCGACCCAATTTTGGGCTTACAACTACCAATGTTCAACGCCGTAGGCTTGTAATTTTGAACCAAATTCAGAAGACAAGTGAATTTCTGGATCAAGTATTAGATGAAATTTGCCTTCATGGAAGACTTGCTGATAGAACTAACCTGCATTTGCCTTACATGGGGAGGAAAACCACGAAAGCCTCCCACGGTTAGCCTGACCACAAGGGGATTCTAACCCATTATCCACCTACCACTGAGGATATTTAACGTCAGCACTGTGGTCGGTGCAAGCCAGATGCAGAATTCGTATTGACCAGCCATCGCTTGACTTTGAACCCATTCACCTCATTGGAAGGCGAATGCTCTATCCCCTGAGCCAGCAAGGCTCCAAAGATGCATATTGCAAATAAAGCAAAAACTCACCAATCACATTGAGATTTACAAAATGACTCATTTTGGGAACTGTGCTGACTTGACATTCGTATACGCCTCCATCTTTACTTTGTGGATATTTGATTTGAAGAGTCCAGTCATCAGAGTTCTCCATGTGAATGCTCTGGAAACGCTGATCACTTGTATAGGTGAATCTTCCCACAGTCAGAACATGGAGGTCCTTGCGCCGAATCCAAGAAACCTGTGGGGAAAAATAACCATATTCATGAGAACCAACAAGAAGATTCAACTTTAAAGGTTTTTAAAATTACCAAATTTTTTTTCAATAATTGAACACGATTGAATACTGAAACCATTTTTTTTATTTAACCCTTTAATGGGCCATTTAATCCCAGTAAATGAAAATTAAAATATTTTCGGAATTGAAATTGATATAAGAAAAAAAACTCATTTAGCTTGTGAGGTAAAATTAATTTAAATTTAGTCATTTATCACGGTTCATTAGGTCCATAAAGAAAGTAAGCAAGATACTGACTTTTATTTATTTTTTAATTATAAAACAAATTTTGTTAATACTACAAACTTCAAAAGGAATTATTCATATTCCTCTTGCAGTCTGTAGTATTAACGAGTATGTAGTATGACCATATGCCAATTTTAAAAAACATTTATAGCTTGTTACATGTTTTTTTTTTAAATTGGCATATGGTCAGTAATCTCATTCAAAAGTGTTCATCAGAACTCAAGCTATTAACAAATGAAAAGCCAAATTACAAATGGTTAAATAGTTTACAATGGACATTTAAAATTGGTGGTAAGTATACGTACCGTAGAAAGGGTTAAGATTCAAATGAAATGTACTTAAGATGACCGATTCTTATTTAATACTACAGCTTAATCAAGAAATTATACACTGTTATTGTACGAAAAAAAAAAATGTTTTCTCAAAACTACCAGAATATGGCAAAATTAATTGCGATTTTGGCTCTATGGGAACACAAAACGGCTTGGTAATTTTTTCCAAAGCCTTTTGGTAATGATTTTGGTAACAATAAAAATAAAATATAGTTTTATAATCTGTGATAAAACTTGGTGAAATGGGTTAAATTTTTTAATTTTGTAATGATAACTTAGAGAATGGCATAAAAAAATCTATTTCGTTATATTTACTTTTCAGTTTTGTATTTTTTGGAAATTTTGAAGACCGGAATATCCGGTAAGTCGTAACCAAATGAACGGAAAAATTACCAAATAAATGGTTTCAGTATGGTAATTTTATTAACAAAAACTTTTTTTTCCTTTTTTTTTATCAGAAATGTTATTATTATACTGTTCGGTAATTTTACCATAATTTTTTTTCTCCGTGCATATATCGTGTCTTTTTTTTTCGTTTTTGATGGTCAGAATCATTTTCCGTTACCATTTAAATCGAGTCATTATGCACTCCCTTCTATGCTGTTTGTCTACAGCAATAATGTTGAAATATTAAGTTTAAAAATAGATACTTCTAACTCACCTTCAGGATATCAATTCTTTTTTTTTTTAATCTTAAGCAAATTTCCCTTAATTTTTCGCATATAGCTATAGCAAGTAATTTTTATTCTGGAAAATTATGGTAAAATTATGGTTTCGTATAATTACTTCATTTATTTTCTTATTTCCTTTTAGTTCGATTTATGATATGCAACCGAATAAATTATAATTTTTCATCATGAAATTTACCTATGCCATAAAAATCAGTAAAGATTAAAAATTAAAATCATTCAACATAATTTAGTCTATGCTATTAACTATTACGTTTAAATTAAATGAGAGGAAGTTGATATAATAAATCAATGTATAAAAATTCACACTATAGTAGATTTTTGAAGGAATAAAATTTTTAAGTACTTTAAAATCATTAAGGGGACCATTTAAATACTATGCAGGTGCTTAAGGGAAAGGAAGGGGTTTATGAGTTGCTTATTTTCGCTGGTAAAGTGAGGAAGACTATGAGCAATGATTAATATGCAGTCCCAAAAAATCTCTTTTTAAAAATTTTTTTTAAACGCAAAAAACTTAACTAAATAAAATTTGGAAATTTCAAGTTTGAAATAAAATTGAAAAAAGGAAAAGAAAAAGTTGGAAACATTTTTTACAAGGTGATTCAAAATTTTATAAAATTAATTAAAACGTAATTTTTGTTTCAAGCAAAGTGACATCTTTTATTTAAATTTCAAATCATATAGCTACAACACTAAATCAGTATACTAAAGTAAAAGTTAAAAATAGTATACAAAAATAAAGGGAAGGGTGTCCGACCTTTAAACGTAGGGATGTGGGATAATCTTTCGCTGATTTTTTTGACAAGGGGGGTGTCCAGAATTACCAAAATCATGCTTATGAAATACTTTAAAGTATCCGAAGAAGTTTCTTGAAGCTCCGTAGATGTAGTTCTAATGCAGCGTATGCTACTCTCGTTTTTTTTCTGCCTAAATTTAAAAAATTTATAAAAAGAACTCCATCAAACCGAATTATTTTTGTTTTTGACTTTATAGCAGAATGACGGATTTTTGAAGAAAATCTGGTTTATTAATTTATTAACTTTGGCGCAGATGGGTCACCGGTATTCCTTCAATGTTTTTCTTTTTCTAATGCTCCAATTAGAGTTAAAAATACATTATTGTATGTTTGACGTGCAAAAAACAGTCTAATTGCTACTAAAAAAATATGTTAGATTCTCGAAATATTATTTGTTCTAAAATAAGAAAAATCCAAAAAAATAGTGATTGTTAAATAAAATTTCATTCATAATCAAATATTTATTAATAATTTGTTTTGTGAATTAAATTAATTTTAATGATGAATTACTGATTCTCTTTGATCTAAATAACTACAAATAAGTGCAAATTTGAAAAGTTATTGTTCTGAAATGAGTCATACTTAGAAAATTTTACCTATAACCCGAAGAAGAGACACCGGTGTCCGATGCTGTATTTCCTAACAAAAAATTATTAAAGTGCTAAATATAATATTATTCAATCATTTTGACCTAATTTAATACAAAATAATTAAAAACAGATTAAAAATATGTTGAATAAAAATTCTCCATCAAAGGGTTAATATTCTTTGTAAAATATTAATAAAGAAATATTATTAATATGTAGGGAAATACACTGCCACTTCTTAAATGATAATATTAAAAAGTTTTATAAAAAGAACTCCATCAGACCAAAATTTTTTTGTTTTTTCTTTTGTTTTTGACTTTATAGTAGAATGACGGATTTTAAAAGAAAATTTGGTTTATTAATTTATTGACCTTGGCGCAGATTGGTCACTGGTGTCCATTTTATGTTTTTCTTCCTCTGAGGCTCTAATTAGAAGTAAAAACATGTTATGGTATGTTTACCATCCAAAAAGTAGTCTAATTGCTACTGAGAAAATCTGTGAGAAAACCAAAAAAGAGTGATTGTCAAACATTTCTTTTCATTTACATTCAAATATTTATTAATAATTTATTTCGCAAGTTAAAGTCATTCTAATGATTAATTATTGTTTCTCTTTGCACTAAATAACTACAAATAAGTGCAAATTCGAAAAGTTATTATTTTTAAATGAGTCATGCTTGGAAAATTTTTACCTTTAATGCACAGAAAAGACACCGGTGTTCGATGCTGTTTTTCACGGCGAAAAACCATTAAAATGCTAAATATAATATTTTTCACCCATTTTGACCTAAATTAATACAAAATAATGAAACGTAGATTGAATAAAAATTCTCCTTCAAAGGGTTAATATTCTTTGTAAAATATTAATAAAGAAATATTATTAATATATAGGGAAATACACCGCCACTTCTTAAATGATAACGTATTTCAAGTACTATATGTTTCATAATAGAACCTGGTTTAATAACGAAAGAAGAATCGGAATTGTTCCTTTCTTCTATAGTTTCAGAAATGGTCTAGTTCCCTTTCCTTATATTCCATAGGAATGTCAATGCTGTTGACATCAGAGTGGTTTGGGCGACTACTTTTCCAGAAAGAACGACGACTCTGACAGTATTTGCCACTCCCTGTTTCAAATAATCAGAACATGGAATCGTAGGTCATATACTATACCGTCTATTTAATGGAAAGGCGACGCGAAAAGTTTTGGTCGTAAGACTATTATAGAAAAAAAAAATAAGGCAAGAATTCGATAGTCTTTTATTTGATTCAGTTGTAACGAGAGGGCATAAATAGCAGCAAGAAAGAAGTCATTCCTGTAGAGGTCAAAGACAAAAAGGAATGGTACTTGACTATTCTTTCGGGACTTCTGAAATAAGGAATGTTGGAATCAATTTCGCAAGTTCCAATTCTGGAGCGAATTTTTTAAACGATATTTTTGAGCAGCGTTCGGGAACGTTATAGATTTCTGATGAGAATTTCATACACTGTTAAAAAAGTTTCGAAAAAAAAACGATAAAAAAACAATTTATTTAATTGTTATTTTACTTTATTCAAGCATAACAGTCAAATAACCATACATAAGATAGTATTATTTAGATGTTAATTAAGATTATAAGATGGTAAACTATTAGCTGTGAGAAAAATCGTTTATTAACTGCTTTTACATAATACGATTAAGCAACTAGAATTTAATCGCACTAACTAGGCCCACCTAATAAGGTCACTTTGTTTCTTGCAGCCGGGTACATATTTCAGCTGAGAGGGCTAATTTGTCAAATTCATGTGCCAGGGTTGATGGCAAGATACTTCCTAAATTACCTTCAACACATGAAGAGTTTCCAGTTTCCTGCACTTCTCAATTTGTGATCTTAGTTTATTAGAATACGATACTCTCACTCATAGATGGCAGCACCATAAAGCTGTTTAACACAAAAAAGTCTAGTATTTTCATGGCTTTTTAACCATACTAGCTCTAAACAATTTCAAAACCGTAAAGGTAAATAATGTTCTTTGCTGTAAAATTTGCGGTTAATTGATGGACAGACTGCTGTTGGTTATTTTGCCGTAACTTTGGAATGAAAATTCTAACAGTATAAAGTAAGCAATGCTGGAATATATTTTACAAGTTCCAATTCTGGAACGAATTTCTGAGTTGTGAGAGGGATCGCAATAGATTTCTGTTTAGATTTTTTATTTGTTTCATGAGAAAAATCATTTTTTTCACCTTTCGGGTCGATACTCTCACTCATAGATGGCAGCACCATAAAGCTGTTTAACACAAAAAAGTCTAGTATTTTCATGGCTTTTTAAC